TAAATGTTTTGGTCTTACAGAAACATCGCAAGAATAGTATGAATTCCCCTATACCCTGCACCTAGGCTCCCCAAATGATATTTTACCACATTTGCTTTATGTGTTCTCTCTTTTTATCATTTTGTTGTCATTACCGTTTTCAGAATGATTGGGCAGCGTGTTGCAGACACAGTGCCCAGTCATCCCCCTACACCCCAGGGAATGTTGCTAAAGGACATTCCTGACATAATCATGGCGCAACAATCACAATCAGGAAATTGCTGTTGATGCAGTTCTCTTATCTGATTTACAGACATTTCAAGTTTGTCCCCTTAATGTTCTTTTAACCAACAGCAGGAGGTATATCTAAAAAAAAGTCTAAGTCTTGTTCTCTGAGCTTCACACCTAGTCCATTAAATTGTTTGGTCCAGGCTTTTTAATGTTAAAGTAAAGATTTCACCATTTTGCTTCCCGTTTTCTCTCTGACCATCCCCACAGGGGTAATGACAGCCAGAAGAACAAAGAAGTTAGTGTCTCTGCAAGTCACTGACCCCAAGGCTGGCTCTGAGACATTTTAGATGTGATCTCTCACCATCTGGTCAGTAGTTTCTATTGAGCTCAAATGTCTTACTTTTTAGCATGGTTAAGCAGTACTTTCTCAATTAAATCATGTATCAAAATTTGACCCTCCTCAACATCACCACTGAAATTCATCTATGGTTTTCATCATCTCAAATATTTTCATACAAAGGACAAGCCACAGTGAGAGTAACAACAGGAAACAAAACCTTTTCATAAATTAGCCAAGAATCTCAAGAAGCCAGGAACTTCCTGAATTTCTCTTTGTAATAAGAATATAACATGGGTGAGGTAAGGGCTGAATTATCGCAAAGGCATTACTCCGAAGAAATATCCTACACAGGCAATTCCGTGTGAATTCGGCCTATGTATTCTAACATCATAAAAATTGGCTCATCCCTGGAGATCATGCCCATCACTACACCGACTTAATTAACTCAAATTTCCAAAGGCCCTAAGTGAAACGTATGGACTCTGTGGTAATATTTTTATATGGAAGGAATTAGGTACAAATCCCCCCCTCACTGCCCGAGGGGCTGCCATCCTGAACAGGGCAGGAGGCTCCGCGCGGGGGGCTCACCGGGCCTGCCGCCTTGTTTCGCGAGCTTCACATATTCAGAATCTGTTTCTTTTATCCAGTGTCTCCGAGTCCCAGGCAAGTTCCCGCTGTGTGAGTCTCCCAAATTGCTGAGACCTGGGATCTGGGACGCTGGCGGGGCATCCACGGCCTTCTCAGAGCGCTTCACTGGGACATGGTAATACCAATCTATAGAGGAGGGGGCGGGGCCATGCTGCTGCTGTGTGTCAGAGTGTCTCTATGCAGACAACACCGCCAGGACAGTGCAGGCCACAGAGCCCATTAGCAAGGAAGATAATGCCCTCTTCATAACATCAGCCATGCCACCCAGTCTGTACTGCCCACCAAGATGCCACCACTGGCACCAACCGAAGGGAAAGCTGCGAGAACTCAGCCTCTTTCATTGGGTACCCAGGAAGGTACCCAAGGCCCATTATGTCTCTGTCTCTCTCTCCTAATCCTCCATAAAAATAAGACAACTGTATTTTTGGTTATGTTGGGGAATATTCATTCCTGAAAAATCCCAAATCACTTAAAACATTATGGGTGAGCCTGTGGAATACATGGCTAAACGTTGACCAAGATTTGCTAAATTCAGTATGTCAAAAATACTGAAATCTAAGTCCTGTCACAGAAATAGCCTGTTTGAACACATTTACCAATAGCACAAGAGTGAGAAGAGGCAGGACTAGGGAGTGGTCAGCGGCCCCGCCACCGAGCAAGGGTGCTTGAATCAGCTCAGAGGCTTCTCTCCACATGAGTCAGTACAGCATGAGTTCCCATATTCCCTCCACCCAGAGTCCCCAGGTGAGAGTTCATCTCACCTTATCACTCTCCCTCTCCCTCTTTTTTTTTTGTCCCTTTCATTATTATTATTGTATAATTACTGTTTTCAATAATAATGGCTTTGCTTATGCCTGAGGCCAAAGAGGACAGAGAAAGGTGACCAGAAGTCTAGATGGTTCCTGAAAAGTGTTGGAAACAGGTGACCACGTATTATGGAAAAAGTTCTTAGCTGGAGAGTCAGAGATTTCTAAGGTGACTGTGTTTGGCTCCCTTGAGAAAGATCACATTGAAATACAGCAAGTGTAGACTGCATGACCTCTGTTATGAAAGGACCCACGAAGAAGAAGCCAGACACAATGGAGTGGAGGAGGAGAGCTGTTCTCTGTCCCTCCTCCTTTCCTGATTGGAGTCCATGCAGAAAGGGGCTGTGGACAGAGGAGTTCATGTGGCCCTGGTGAAGCCATGAGGCTCCCTAAGGCCTTGAACTGAGGGCATCCAGGACAGGCCCTGCAGGCTGGCTTGGAACCACCCAGGAGATGCCCTGGAGTCCTACGGGAGCTTCTGTCAAGTGAGTTGGCAAAATCCCTCCAGAGACCTGGAGGTATCAGTGTTTATTGATGACTCCACAGAGAGGAGAGATCTGGGGCACTCAGACAACTGGGGTTCTAGGTAACTATTTGAAGCTGATATTGACTAACCAAATGCCCAAATATAAGAAAAAATATCACACCTGATTGAAAACTTTAGAAACAAAACCCAGGAAGAATGTAAGATATGAAAGATGCAATTAATGTGACACTATGACTGGGTGCATGCAATAACACTTATCAGAATGGACTGTCACAGGGTCAGTATGTTCAGAATCTAACATAATACCCTCTTCTTGGGTGGTTACAATGTCTAATTTTATGTGTAAACTTGGCTGGTCCATGGTACCCAGATATTGGCGCAGCATTATTTTAGTTGTGTCTATGAAGATTTTTTTAGATGAAAATAACATGTAAAACAGTAAAATTTGAGTGAAGTAGATTGTCCTCTATAATGTGCATGGGCTTCCTCCAATCAGAGTAAACCAAAAGTAAAATTCTAAGCCCCCCAACTGACTGAATGAAAGCCCCCACTCAACCAACTCTATTCCAAAGTAAACTTGAAAAACTAGTTTAGGCCATAACAGGAAGGAGGTTGGACAGGCCTCCTTTTACCCTCCTCCCTCTGGAATTCAGGCACAGCTGACCAGCATTATCATTAATATGGAGATCTTATACATCTATCTGTATATAATCAATCAATCAATCAGTCAATCTATCTATCTATCTATCCATGTATATATATGTATGTACATAGATAGACATGGGTATGCTTGGTTATATTGCCTGGAGAATGCTGACTAATACAGTAGATGCACAGGAAAATAGTACTGAATAAATTGATTCATGTAAGCACAGAGAAGTAAGAAGAAACCATCCTTTAAAGCTAAAAGATTAGACATCAAATTTTTAATGGATGGGTTTTAATGCAGACAATCTTTTAGGTAGCTAAAGGACACTAAATAGCTGAATCAACACTCTATGGTTTTGAAAAGGAAAGAAAAGAAAGATTGGAAAAGTTTAAAGACTTACACAAAAGATCATAGAGAATCATTTTAAAAATAAATAAGACAATTTAGCAGCTTCATACTCTGCCCCTATTCAGTTCAGATATTTTCTTTTAGAGAGAAGGCATTTGATTGTTGCCTTATTTTTTTCTCTCTCTGTTTTGATTACTAATTAATCCACAGAGAACAGTGTGTCTTCTGCCTTCTTCTCATTACTGGAAGCTGTGGACAGGCACTGAACTCGAATCTGGTTGGCCATTTATGAATGCATACAAAGAAAGCACTCAGAGAGCAAGGGCTCAGATCAGTAAGAACCAACTGTGACCACCACACACACACACACACACACACACACACACACACACACACAAAGAGAGAGAGAGGGTTAAAGGGACTAAGAGTTATCTCAGCTTTTATCATGCAAAAAATCACTGGTACTTGTACAATATCAATCATTTACTATCCTATAGATTTTCTTTATGTAGCCTTCCCTGCCTTCTCATTTGTCAAATATTAGTACCCTTATTTTATCAGTGAGGAAACACAGTCTGTGACAGTCTATGGGATGAACTGAAGATCCCCCAGCTCTCCTGGTCTCTAAGGCACAAGGAAGTGTGTTATATGCTCACCTACCCACAGGAGCACAGGCTCCTGCTTTAAGCTGCTGTGACCTTACAGAACAGCTGCAGAGCCACTTACTAAGTGTATAACCTTGGGCAACTTACTCCAAACTCTATAAAATGGGGGTAATGTTCCCTCGTAGGGCTGTTATGAGGTTAAATGAATTAGTGTATAATACAAAGCACTAAGAACAGTGCCTGGCAGTTGTTAGTGTTCCTTAGTGCTGATCATACAGACAAGGCCACTAGAAGGCACCAAGAAATCACATGAAGGCTCCAGAGCCCACTGGGAGAAGGCAAATCAGCCAGACTTCTGTGCTGTCCCTTTCCCAGTCCCCAGCATGGCCACACTATCTCCAACAGTGGTCCCAAGGTAGAGCTCTGGGATAGAAGCTTGTTTAGAGTATGAAGAAGGGCTACATTTGGTTCACTTCTGAGCAGATGTGCTGGCTCCAGAGTGCCGACCAGCTCCAACTCCGCTGTCCCAGCTGACTTCCAGGACCCTCTTCTCTACCCTCTTACAGCCTTTCACAAATAAAATTAAAAAAAAAAGAAGAAGAAGAAGAAGAAGAAGAAGAAGAAGAAGACAGCCTCTCAAGACTTTTTTCCTTCCCCTCTCCTCCGCTTCAAACCCTATCACATAAGAAGACATGAAGCTCACTGAATTCCTTTTCCTGTATCCAGACCCTGAAACCAGAACATATACTTAACTTGTTTGGGGTCTAAAGTAGGAGCAATGGCTAGGGATTCACTGAAATACCGAGGTTATTCTGCTAGAAAAGAAACTTCCCAAGCCAACATTCAGGAACGCAGTTGTGAGAGTTGCATAGGGCTGAACTATGACAGAGAAAACTTCCAAGGGATCCTATTGCTCCAGATTGAACCAAGGTAGGTAGCCTTGGTTCTTGTTGAAAATACAAAAAAAAAAAAAAAAAGACTTCCCGACTCATAGTTCTCTTTAAGTCTTGATTTCACACTCAGGCACAGGAGCAGCTCGTGGCTTTCTTTGACTTGTTAGTTTTATCACTTGGTCCTCTACCCCTGCAGTTCACACCCCCCTCCCCGCCCACATAGAGGACAATGGATCCACAGTGCGTCTAGCAAGCAGAGTGCAAGCAGCCGTGCTCTTTCTGGCCAGGACGCGCTGAGGGCGCACTCACCGCAGGGAGCGTAGCGGTGCGTGGCGCCCTGCAGTTCCTTGCTGGTGTTCCTCATGGTTGGGCGCTGCACGCTGCGGGAAGAGACAGATGCTGCCGGACCTGGTGTTCGCGGGTGCGCTGGGCAATGCCGGCCTGACCCGCTGCCAGGAGCTGCAGCTGCAAAAGTAAAATCCGCGCGCCCCCGCTCGGTCGGTCTTTCCGCCTCCACCTGACACGCCTGCAGGCACCTTACGATGGCCAAGCGCTGGCACGTCCATGCAGGGCATGGGGCAGGGGGGCATGCTCAAGCCAGGTAAACAGAAGGGAGCACATCACGGCGGCATACAGCAGGGCACGTCCACACAGAGTACACAGCAGGGGCGTACGCACTCCAGGTACACAGCAGGGGCACATTCACGCGGGGTATTCAGCAGAGACCCGTGCGTGCGGAGCACACAGTAGGGGGCACGTCACGCTGGCTATCCAGTACAGGCACGTCCACGCCAGGTGCTCAGCGGGTGCACACAGAGAGGGTAAACAGCAGGTAACCAAGGGCCGCGGGACTTGGGCTGGCTGGGAGATCCCGCCCTGTGCTCATCCCAACCCGGCGACGAGATGGTCCCCTCCCTCCGGCCCCGGGGCGCACTGCCCGCACCGCGAGCTCCGCACAGTGGACAAGGACAAGGCCCCAGTGGACACCCCCATTGCCCTCAGGCTCACCAGCTCCCCGCGGGTCTCCGTGGGTGCTGCCCGCGGCGCCCGGGGTTGCAGTTTTTACAGGGCTGGAGGGCTGTAGCCAACCAACCCAACTCCCAGCGCGCCACGGAACCACAACATCCGCGTCGCCAGGGCAACGGCTGAACGGCCAACCGGCGGGCGCGGAGAGATCTCTGGCAGCCAATAGGGATAGCCTGAGGGGCAGCGGTGAGCCAATCAGGGCCGGGAGCGCGGCGCGGGCGACGCCTGTCAACTGCCCAGAGCCCAGAGCCGGACCAGGGCAGGGCAGCGCTGCGCTGCCTCGGGGAGCCGGACGGGGCACTGCGGGGAAGGGAGCAGGGCGTTACTGGTGCAGGAGTGTGGGGAGTGGGGACGTGGGCTCAGGGCGAGAGTCAGGCCTCAGTCGTCCTCTAGCCGCTCTGTCTGGGAACCACAGTTACTGTAGAGCAGTCCAGAAAAACTGGGGGCATGCATCATGTTTTCCAAACAAGTACAACTGTCTCACCCTAAAAACACAACAAGACATAAAAACCCCACCAGTATACACACACACACACACACACACACACCACACACACACACACACACACACACACACACACACACAGAATTTACTAAGAAGATGCAGAAATAATAATTCACTTAGTAAAGGAATCCTTAATTTTAGACAAATTTGCTTGCAAATTTCTCATCTAATGCATTTTTTAAAAGACTAAGTACTTGGAAATTGTGTGTCAATAATGAAATAATCATGCGAACATTCTTCCTGATATTATTTGGGCATATTTCTGTTTTGTAAGTTGAGGGGCTTTTTTTAAAGCTCTTAACCATGTTTATATGGAATTGGGCTTAGAATTCCAAACACTTGGCTTAAGTGTGAACTTTTTGCCTGTCAGGATTTTGAGATTTACAGAAAGTACAACGAGTATATTACCGATGGTATTTCCTGAGAATGAAGATTATCTATCTGGCATACGCTTGGTGAGGCTAACAGACACCAACAGCTATGGTGCAGTTCAGTAGGAGACACTTTTGATATCCAGAAAGCCCCATGCCACCCTGGCAAAATAATGGGGCTAATTACCCAGTGTTAACCCCTTGTGAGAGTTCAAAGGGAAAAGTTTTTACAGAGAACATTCAAAGAAATCCTATTGTTCCAATGACTGCAGCAACAGCTAGTAGCCTTGGATTTCTCTTGTTGAATTTTTTTTTTTAAATCAAGACTTTTCATAATGGTGGGTATTTGACTGAACATGAGTCTGTGTCTGTTATACAAGTATAGCCTTAGAAACCTAGCTGGAGACAGGTAATATCAGAATTGGTTAAAAAGAAGATAATTTTTTGTGCAGGAATTAACTCTAATAATATGGTTTATCCAGCTCTAATATAATATCTTAATGAATTCTAAGCATCTTCAGTGGTGCAGTCATGAGTAGTCAAGACTTCATACTGCAATATCAAATTTTCATTCCACTGTATGTACAGGCTCTTAGGTTATCGCCAAGCATGACAAATGCTTTTGTTTGTGAAAGTCACAGCATCATTTAGCTACGGGATTGTATGGTCAAGAGAAGGTTATTTATTTATTTATTTATTTGAGATGGAGTATTGCTCTGTGGCCCAGGTTTAAGTGCAGTGACATGATATTGGCTCAGTGCAACCTCCGCATCCCGGGTTCAAGCAATTCTCTTGCCTCAGTCTCTAGAGTAGCCGAGATTATAGGCACGCACTACCATGCCAGGCTAATTTTTGTATTTATAGTAGAGATGGGCATTCACCATGTTGGCCAGGCTGGTCTCGAATTCCTGATCTTGTGATCCACCCACCTCAGCCTCCAAAATTGCTGGGATTACAGGTATGAGCCACAGCACCTGGCTCAGAAGGTTATTTTAAAAAATAAATAAATAATTGATCATAATAGCTGGAGCTATCATGACCAAAGAGTATGTCTATTTTTCCATTGGATTAACAGAAGAGTACAGCATTCATCCAAGTTGATAACCTTCTTTCCTAGCTGAATTCATAAGTTGAATGATAATGAAGTATAATTCCTTAGAAAAAACTTTTTAATTTATTTTTATTTTGTTTTATTCTTATTTTTGAGACAGGATATTTCTCTGTCATCCAGGCTGAAATGTGTTAGTGTGATCATGGCTCAGTGAAGCTTTGAACTCATGAGTTCAAGAGATCTTCCCACCTTGACTTCCTGAGCAGTTAGGACTCCAGGCCCACACCACCACATCTAGCTAATTTTTAATTTTTTTTTTTTTAAAGACAACGGTCTTGCTACATCCCCAGGCTGGTCTCCAACTTCAGGCCTCAAGGGATCCTCCCCTCTCAGCCTCCCAATGCACTGGGACTCTAGGCATGAGCCACAATGCCTGGCCAACTTTTGATTTTTGCAGTGTGATTGAAATTAGAAATATTTGCAAACTAGATCAGATAAGAATGTAAGTAATGTCATGCAAATTAAAACATGACATAAGAATAATTTATTTATGATGAGACTATCTCAATGTCTTTATTTCCCATACTTTATCACATAATCATTTCTATCACATAATGGCCCTCAATATTTAGAAGGATCCAACATTTTCTGACATATATTCTCACTTTATGCCTAATTTCATTCACTTTACTTGTAGGTATGGTTATGAATATTCACTTTACTTGTACCTCCTGCTTATGGACATTTTGAGAAGAGAAAAAAAATGTATTTGAGTACAAATTCTGATTTTTTGAAGCCCTCTGGCCCTTCCTGCCTGCCTGGTCTCTGTTGGTTTTTCCATGTTGTTGGCTGAAGCTGGTTTATTTAAACTTGCAGGACACATCTCCTGTTTGCACTTTCCATCTCTCCACTTTTGCCCATCCTTGTTACTGGCTGTTCCAATCTCAAGCAGCTGAAAGCCCTGGTGTAGTTCCCCTCCCCAGCCTTCACCTCTGCGGGCTCAGTCTTTCTCTCCAGAATATACAGCATACTCTCACTGAGGGTCCACAAACTGGAGGGACTTTTATATTTTGTGCTTTTTTCCCTGATAACCTGAGTAATTTAAAGACGCATTTCTCCTTTTTGGTATATATTTATGTATTTCAATGTTATATAGCAGTTTGGGTTTTCAGCCTAGTTGGAGAAACAAGATCATCTATATGTGGGAGAGCGACTAGATTTCTTTGATTCTGCAGTGCCCTGCATTATGGTAAAATGACAGCCTTTGTCTTTGGTTGAAACTTTTCCCAAGGAAAATGACACATTTTGGGTTTTTTTCCAACTTTATTGAGATATAATTAACAAACAAAAATTCTATATTTAAGTTGTGCATATTAATTTTATACACACATACATTGTGAAATAATTACTACGATCAAGCTAATTGACATATTCATCATCTCACTTAGTTACCTTTGTTCATGCGTGTGTCGGGTAAGAACACTTGAGATCTACTCTGTCAACACATTTCAAATATACAATACAATATTGCTAACTGTAGTCAGCATGCTGTACATTGGATCCCCAGAATTTATCCCTCTTATAACTGAAACTCTGCACCTTTTGACCAGCATCTTCCTTTTCCCACTCTCTCTGCCTATCAGCCACTGGCAACTCCCATTCTACTCTTTGCTTCTACAAATTTGACTTTTTTAGGCTCCACATACAAATGACATCATACAGTATTCACGTATCTGTGTCTGGTTTATTTCACTTAGCGTAATGCCCTCCAGGCTCATTCATGTTGCCACAAATGACACAATTTCCTACTTTTCATGGCTGAATAATATTCCATTCCCTCTCACTTTCTCTCTCCCCCACCCCGTGTGTGTGTGTGTGTGTGTGTGTGTGTGTGTGTGTGTGTGTGTATAAATCACATTCATTCATCCATCAATGAACACTTAGGTTGTTTTTATATTTTGGCTTGTGAATAGTGATAAAATGAACTTGGAAGTGCAAATATCTCTTCAACACACTGATTTCATTTCCTTTGGGTATATATACCCAGAAGTGGGATTGCTGAATCATATGGTAGTTCTATTTTTAATTTCTTAAGGAACTTCCATACTGTTTTTTATTATGAGTATACCAATACATCCCAGCAACAGTATACAAGGGTTACCTTTTCTCTGCATTCTTGCCTACATTTATCGAAGATTATCTCAAACCATCAGAAAAACTTCCAAGATAAATGTTTAAGTGAAAGAAGAAAGATGCAGAGCACAGTTTATAGTAAGCTACCATTAGGAATGTGGAGAGATAAATATACATATAAAATATTACATATATAATGCAATGTCACATACTGTACATGCATATCACATCTTTGAATGGAAAGAGTATAAATAGTAACACAGATGCTAGGAGGGAGGGGAGCCAATAGCTAGAAGGCAGATGCCAGGTGAAAATGCCATATTTGGTGTGTACCATTTTGTAACTTTCCAATTTAGGACTAGTAGATAAAAAAGTAGAAACTTGGGGGTTTCTTGGGACAGATCTAGGCTTTCAGAAGAAAAAGTAGTAAATAAAAAAATAACACTTACGAATTCACCCAGAAATCAACATAAGTAAAAAGAGAGAAGAGCAGAAACGAATATGAAGGAGCAGTTGAACTATATGGAAAGTAAAAGGGAGACACAAGCGTCAACAGGTGGACCATTCTAAGAAAATCAAGGCAGTGGCAGAGAGCCATATTTGAAGCCCTGATGCTGAAAAATAGTCCAGACCTGAAAAAAACAACACACAAGTGCTCACATTGAAAAGACTCTGAGTTATAAGTGAGGAAAAACAAAAACTAGTATCAAACCTGGATACACCAAAATAAAACGGAAAATATGGATAAACAGAAAATCTTAAAAACTACCAGAGAAATTGCCAAAAAAAAAAAATTGAAGAGGAATGAAAACCAGACAGAATTTTCATCAGCAACAATCAATCCACAAGACCGTGGAGTAGTATCCCCAAAGTGCTAAGATTGAAATCACTGTCATCCTAGAATTTATGCCCCAAATAAACTAGATTATCCTTCCCCTTAGCTATTCAATTTCTAGGTTTATGTTTAGAAAAACCTTGCGGTGTGCATATAACAACTTGCAATGAGCATTATTTCTTTCCAAAAA